AAGAGTTCTAATTGCCCACTGCCTCGCGAAGGAACCTAATGAATCGCACACCGTGTAAGGTAATGCTTGAAGGATTTGACGGAGATGAGTAAGGACAATTAAATGGTTTAATTGTTTATGGCAAGAATTAATTAATATGTTAATTAATTAAACGAATAAGTTCATTTTAAACCTTGAGTTAGTTTTGGGCCTTAAAGCCCAAATTGGGCTTCGAATCGTCAAGCCCATTAGCTTAAGTTGTATGATAACTTAACAAACAAAATTCAAGAAGCCCAAAACAGCCCAAAGGCTTGGGAAAACCAGTCATATAGAAAGGGGTAGTGGTTTTGGACTTATTACAAGTTTGTCACTCCAATGAAGGTAGGTACAAATGTGACTTTATAGCCTTTTCTTCATTAAAGTTTTTTTTTGGAGAAAAGATGAGAACACAAGCTCCATTTTCTCTCTAAGAGGCCGGCCACTCTAGAGGATTTTAGCTAGCAATCTTACTTCCTCTAGGTCACTCATCTTTTCTTCAAGTCCTACCTTGGTGTAGAGACTTAGAGGTTCTCAACTTTGAGAACTTGGAGAATCCTTTCAACCATCATCATCCAAGAAATTCATGGAGCTAAGAAGCAAGGAATGAAAGCCCTTTCCTTGGATGATTAGCCTTTACTTATGCAAAGAGGAATCAATAAAGGTATAAAATTTCTCAACTCACTTTGTTCTTGAGTTGAGTCTTGGTTCACATAACTACTAGGCTTTGAATTTCATGGGCAATGTTTTGTTTTTTAGTGCATACAAGCATGATTCCGTCTTTAAATGTTAATTGCATGTCATAGATGTTGCTCAAATGAACATGTTTTTCACAAAATCCTTCACACGTGTCGACATTAGAAGCCAATCATAGCGCGACACGTGTCAATATCAGAAGCCAATCACAACACGACACGTGTTAATGTCAGAATGAAACTAGAAACTCTCTTCTATAAATAGAGATCATTCTCTCACAATATTTCCGAATGTCATTTGTACTAAAGCATTCACTTGTACTCACTAAAGAAGAGCTTGAACTTATGTACTTGTGTAAACCCTTCACAATTAATGAGAACTCCTCTACTCCATGGATGTAACCAATTGGGTGAACCACGTACATCTTGTGTTTGCTTCCCTGTCTCTATCAATTTACATAATTATCCACACTAGTGACCGGAGCAATCTAGCGAAGGTCACAAACTTAACACTTTTTGTTGTATCAAAGTCCTCGCTGATTTTGTGTATCAACAAAGGATATTCGAGATGACAATGATCATAAATGAAACCACTGAAGAAAATAGAGTGAATATCTTTGCACCACCTCCAAAAATAAGCTTGAAGCTTTGATTTGGGGCCAATGGGTTGTCTCCTAATTGGAAACACGCCACATGTGGCTGGCCTATAGTCGGGTGATTAAGCAGTTTACTTACTTTGGCATGACCTTTTGGGACACTTAGGTCGAACAATGATGCTACAACACATCTATTTACCCGAAGTAAAGATCTTGTGCCTACAAGCACACTTTACCAAGCATGCTCATTAGGGAATTGATTTTCTAAATCATCCCTCTCAAAGATACAAAATCATCATTTTTCATGAGTGGATTTAAGGGAATATATGTGGACTAATCCAACCCAAACACAGACCATATAAATACTTATGGTTTTGGTTGATGAATCAACAAATTGGTCACATGTTTGTCCACACACTGCTAAACCTCTTGGCCGATTTAGGGTTCACCACCCTACTTATTCCTTAAGGTCCGAGAGACTGGATAATGCTGGAAAGTTTATATTGACGGTTTTTGATAAAGTATTGTAGTATTTTGGGTTTATAATTGAACATTAAATTCTCATGTTCACCCCAAAGAGTCTCGCCTAGCGATCATAAAGCGCAATTTAAATAATCGCCCGAATTTTGGTAAACATACCAAGTTTTCGGTTCCTGCCTAGGGCTATGCAATCCTTGTACGCAGTTATGTTGGTCTGCCTTGAGGCCCATTGCCACCCAACCTATATGACGTTACAATTGGTCACTAGGTACGAACTTGACGATTTTCGTATTTACGCATTTGGGTGCGCATTCCATGTGCCAAGTTGCGCCGCCGCAATGTACCACCATGGGTCCTCAACGAAGGATGTGTATCTTTTGTCGATAATGATTCTCCTTCACACTAGCTCTCTTAGAGCCCTTACACACGATCTCTTTACCGCTCATTTGGGGCTTGTCATTTTAATGAGACAATTTTCCCGCCGTTAGGAGGAGATAAGAACGTCAACATTCCTGTAGAACGACCCAAATTTGCGTGGACGTTGCCCACTATGTCTCATCTCGATCCCCATACCGCACACATGTGATAAGTAAGTGCGATAAATTCTAGATTTCAGAATGTTGCTCCATAAGCATTCCTCTGATCTAGCTAAAGTGACGAGATCATATCCCTAGAGGGTGTGCCGCCCCTGTTAGACGGTTTGGATGCCCTTGTTGAATAGTCTGGTACACCGGCTAATAGCCAATCAATATGTCTTGTCTTGGAGCACGACAGATCATTCGGTTTGTAGGATTCACTTCCCTTGAAAAGGAAGACACAACACAAAAATAAATCTAAACTCGATCGCTGTCTCAAATCATTTTCATCTCATGAGATTAATCCGGATCTCTCCCGAGACTTAAAGTTTTTGGTCCAGTATACTAGTTTGGATGAGCTAAATGGAATTGAAATGAGATTATTATCGATGATGTTTTCACTTATATGATAGCTACCAACATAAATGAAAAGCGACGATATCGAACCATGTTTTGTTGATTAAGTGACAACGTAGAACTGATTAGACAACTAAAGTTACAATCTAGGTCAAATTCCTTACCAAAGTGTGTTTTGGACCTGTCGTTCCTACACTGGCCAAGGTAACCCTATTGTGTTACAAATGGGAAAGGAAGCGTTATGAGATGAATGAAATAGTGCGATATGATGCACGCCTTATGACACAAGGTTTCTTTCAAACGTCCTATGATTGATAGCAACATTATGAAATGTGGTTAGTGTTTCTCCATGTGGATATAGATATGGAGATTTACATGTAAGTTCCTTAAGAATTACATGGATTGGTTCAAATAGTTCCAAACCACGGAACACCTTCTTAACTCGTTTTGAGGCGTTCACTTATAGATTGAAAAATCAGACGGATGAGGTATACCCATTTACGTGATTATTCGATCAGTCAGGGATGAATTATGCCTTTGCGTGTTAAACTATGAAGTCTTATTCCAAATTACTAGAGTTACAGTTTATGTTGTTGACACGAATCTCACTAAGATTCCGGAAGAGCTTGAGAAAACTGCCTCGCACCTGAAGATGGAATTTGAGATGAATGATCTTAGGAAAACTCGTTTATGCCTTGACCTGAAGTTCATGCGTTGTTCTGACGGTATTTTAGTCTAACAGTCGAACTACACCCCGAATGTGTCACCTTTGAGTATACATTTGATCGTCCATACGTTATATGCAAATGAGACACTTGAAGAGGTTATGGAATCCAAAATTCCATATTTAAAGTTCAATTTTGCGCTTCGTTGTACTTAGCTCATTGTATTTAGATAGGACATCTCCTTCGTTGTTGATCTTGGTAAAGATGCAACATCGCGCCTACACGCAACCACTGAATTGGTATTAAAGACGTACCCTAAAGGTACTACATGGGCAAATCCCAAAACATCTCAAACGGATCCAACCCTCCTGATCCTCAGAAAGATACTTGCCTTGTTTATTATGTTGACGCAGGTTACTTAGCAAACCCGCACAAGGCAAAATCCCCAAATGGTTATGTCTTTACCATTAGGGATATTGCAATTTCTTGGATATCCATAATATGACATTTGTTGCAAAATCTTCGAAACGTTCCAAGACTCACCTCACTTCACTACGCCACAAGTGAGACGTGGTTAGGAGTTCTTGTTAAGCATAATCGAAGTACTTGTTGTGTTTTCATCCATCATTGAGTCCTAACAATGATCTATGAAGATTATGCCATATGTATCAACCCGACCAAGCTATGATACATTAACGAAGTCAACACCAAGACATATTACGTCCACATTGACATCAGCAAAGCATAAGGATATTGAAGTCATGCAAGACGATCCCAGACAACCTTGCCGACCTCTACACTACACCACTGCTGAAGTCAACCTTCCAGAAGCTTGTCCGAGGAATTGGTATGTCTAACTATTCATATGCAATGCTTGTAATTCTCATTTAGAAGTTATGTCAAACTCAGAGGGAGTATCCAGAAGTGTACTCACTTGATTTTAATGTACTCTTTTTCCCTATGATTAGGAGCATTTTTTCTCACTGGGTTTTTGCTACCTAACTAGGTTTTAACGAGGCACCCATCTTGGGCTGATCATACCCTTGTGAGCTCTTCTACTTGCGTCCAAAAGACGTATAATTTTGACTTAATGCAACTTCTCATTTTTCTCCTTAGTCTATGGGTTTTCTCCCAGCTTAGGTTTTACCATAGCGAAGTTTTGTGAATTTTACTTTTTACGCATTCTTCCGTTGATTTGAGACTCGCATTCGCTCATTGTGCAAACAACTTCATCAATTGTACTTGCTTCATCACTAAAGACTTGATGCGCCATTTACTTGAGTATTTACATACTCAAGGGAGAGTGTTGCAGTTTTATTAGATTAGTAATGTAATTGTGTAAATCCTAGTATATATTGAAATATCTCTTATATTCCTATTATGAGTAGATTACCTATCAAATGTTGTAATCCTAAAGGGTAAGGAATTAATTTTCCCTACTAATATAAATAAAAGCGCAATGAGATGGAATAACACACATCCACAATTACATATTTCTCTAATTCTCTCTACCTATTGGCGCATCCCTCTCTCTCTAAGGTCTCCATAATTGTTTAATAAATTATACCTACAACAGGAAGCTGTTTATTGCACATCAAAAACAATTTTTTCAAAAAGCAGAGAATACCAAATTAGGCCTATTTTCAATCAAAATCCCAAAAGAGAAAGAAAACACGATACAAGCAAAGAAAACAAAAGGATGATTACGTTCCATTAATTAACCTTTCACTCTCGCATCAATCGGCATAGATTTCAGAAATTCAGATCTTGCTGTATCCATTCACTGCTTCAACTCTACGCCAAATCCAGTTGCTACTTCCATTTCATAGAGAATTGGATCTGTGGGTGAAACTTGAAACTAGGTTTTGGCTTCGGGACATGTTTAGAGCTGGGCTTGTTGTGTTGGTGGTGATGCAAGAAAGATGGAATTTAGATTTGAAGTAGAGATTAGGAGAAATTGTTGGATTTTGTGCGTGTTTGATTTTGATGGGACTTGAGATTTGATTCTGAGGTGAGGTGTGGTGAGGTGATTATTTTGGTTCCAAAGGCTCCGAGTCGGAGGACAACATGTTCTGGAGGGACCGTGACCGTGAGAGGGACAACAAAGACCAAAACGGTGGCGGCGGTCCGCCTTGTGGCCAGGTTCGGGTGCTGGTTGTTGGCGACTCTGGTATCTTTTTCTTTTTCTAACTTTTGATTTTCTTTTAATTTCTTTTGTGTTTTGGTTTTCCTAAATTTTATTTGATTGCTTTCTCCTTGATCGTGCTGTATGTGCTCGTATCCTATCAGTGTCATGATGTTTGTAATTAGGAGGAATATGGATAGTGACAATAAAGTTTCTTTACAACTTTGGTACCAAATTGTTGTAGATATGAGTTTGGAGACAGGACAGTTCTGACCACAGTGGTTGCTGCTCTTCAATTAGTTCGTTACAGAATTATTCGATTAAAAGTTTCTTATAGCGGTGTACTGAAGCAATTTGAACTCGGAGGCTTAAGTGACACGTGAGAGTGACTTTGTCATGGAATTTTAGGAACTTGATTAGGAGATATCTGCACATTTCATTTGTACATCCTGGCTTGAGAAAGGTCTGTGCATCTTTATATTTTGGAAATAGGTTGGCCAGGTTTAATGAAACCTTTGCCTGTTTTGATCTTGAACCAGTAGGTAATGTTGTGATGCTTACTCAATCATGGAGTGGTTCTATACATGTTAGTTTCAAGTAGTTGTGTCAAGTTCAATTACTGACGTGCTTGATTGTTAAAATATATTATCTAAGCCCGCTAGAAGTGTAATGGCTTTAATGTTTATGATAATGCATTGCTCAAATTAATTTTTGGTAGGCAGATTTGGAATCCTCTAAACCTGTAATTTGACATCCGCACATGTGCGCGAAAAACAATTGTTTAATGCATTAGGGAGTATTTTACTTATCCAATCTCTTTTGTTGTACATTACATCTCGTAACTTCAGTTTTATTATCAAACTTCATCGTTATATTGTGATGTATTCGTAGGTGTTGGAAAAACTGCTCTTGTTCATCTGATTGTCAAAGGTTCTTCCATCACGCGTCCTCCTCAGACAGTAGGGTGTACAGTAGGTGTAAAGGTGAGAATTACCAGTACTTTGATTCTGATGGGATATTGGGAACTATTTCTGAACTTCAAGTCTCAATAATTGTTTACCGTTTTTCTATCCAGCATACTACTTATGGAAACTCTGGTAGCTCGTCAAGCAGTATTAAAGGTGACGCTGAGAGAGATTTCTTTATTGAACTCTGGGATGTGTCTGGACATGATAGATACAAAGAATGCCGGTCTCTTTTTTATTCCCAAATTAATGGCAAGTTTGGGACCTCTCTCCCTCTATAAACATTTTATTCTCCTGGTAAATAGTATGCATGTTAATACAAGGTAGAGACAAAGGCGGTGAAGTAAAGAAAGTCTAAGGGACAATTTAATTGAGTATTTACCGTTAACTTAGAAACCAACAGTCTTCTTGGGCTTGTAAGTGCTTAAATTTAACCATTTTTGCATCTCTTGTTGCATCCATGTTCTATAATAATGATGAAAAAAAAAGCATGATAGGTGTTGACAAAATTTTAGTGGTAGGTCATGGTGGTATTCAGTTATGATCAATACGATTGTACACAATTTATTTCCTATAAAAACCATGGAACCAGCATGTTGCAGCCAGATTTAGATTTTTCAGCACATGATACACTTTGACATTCATATGCAGGTGTAATCTTTGTTCATGATCTCTCCCAGAGGAGGACAAAAACTGGCTTACAGAAGTGGGCAGCTGAGATTGCTGCAACTGGGACATTTTCGGCTCCTCTAGGATCTGGAGGTCCTGGTGGCCTTCCTGTCCCGTATATTGTTATAGGTAACAAAGCTGATATTGCTGAAGAGGGTACAAGGGGAAGCAGTGGCAATCTTGTTGATGTAGCTCGACAGTGGGTTGAGAAGCAAGGTTTGCTTCCATCCAGTGAGGAACTTCCACTGACTGAGGGTTTCCCTGGTGCTGGAGGCCTTATTGCGGTAAGCAGCAGGTTTTTATTCTTGTTTTTCTTGCTACCCTTTTTCCCTTCTCTATTGATGCTGTAGACATTATATCAATAAAAATGAAATTAGCATATGGTAACTTAGCATTAAATGAATGTGGTTGTGGTTGCATGAAACATGTTTGTAGGCAACTGACCTCGTTTTGCTGTCTCATTGGGTAAAATGCCTCACCTTAGAAAACCACATTTGGGAAGGATTTCTTTTAATAGCTGCTACTATGCTCTCTTTTTTGTTGACTTGGATAGTTTGCAATTTTTCGAGCTGCCATGGAACTTTGTACTTGACGTAGAAAGTGACAAAGGGAGGAAACTTCACATGTATATCAAAATGCTGTTGGATTCTTAGAGCATCTCCAATGGGCTCTCTATATGAGTTCCTAACTAGAATTTAGGGAGGATTTAAAAAAATCAACTCCAATAATGCTCCCTATCCACCTCCTCCTAAGATAGGGATTCATCTAGGAGATCCTAAATATAGGGGGGGAGAAAGGAGCTCCTATTGGCTCTCTAGAATTAATGCTAACTGTTTTAATATTATTTCAAATAAATAATTAATTCCTATTGGCTAATTATTGACTCATGGTCATTATGACTCTCTAAATTAGGGAGTACAGAGGGCTCCTAAAATAACTTTTTGATAGTTTTAGCTAAAACTTTGCTATAAAATAGAAAGCATGATTGAAGATGCTCTAAGTAGACAGATTTTAATTAAGTTCTATGACACAAAAGTAAAATAGAGGAGGAGAGATTCACTCCGGACTTTGGTGTCACAGAGGTTTTCTTGAAAAAACTCCACAAAAGCTAGACTGTTTTGGCGCACCGGCCTTCGGTGTCACAAGAAAGTGTCTTGCACACAAGCCAAGTCAACTCATGCTTCACAAATGAGCAGGAAATCACAAGAACTGTGATTCCTTTCATATTAACGTTAAAGGCTTGAAGTAGCCATTATTTTTTTATAGCACCATGTGTACAGAATCACTGAAAATACATGTAAAAGACATATTTTACCACACTTAAATCCTAAACATGATCATGTAACATAGGGATAATCCAAGATCATTAATATGACATATAGAGTACATGTGTGAATTGCATTCATTGCAACAAAAAAGTGTAAAGGCTCTTATATTCTGGTTGTTACTGGGATGCCCTTATTTTTTAAGCTTTAAGGTTTCTGCCTGCTACTTGGTTTGTTTATTTCTTTTATTCGTATATATACGGGGAAAGTGTTATCTTTCTAAGCTGGCTGATTATCTTTTTAGATTGTGAATCTGGGTAATTGCTCAAATCAATACTTTCGTGCATCCAAATTCACCACATAAGTCTGGTGAGAGAACACCGTAGGTTCAGCCATGCACTTGGTAGACTTAGAATTCATTTTCTGCACATGTGATCACTAAGAATTCATTTTTTTGTTGTTAGTTGGTGTTGTAGACATGCAAAGAATTTTCGTATTTACAGTTGTATCCATGACATTTGGTAGATGTTAATGATTGCTATTTTATTTAATAAATAAGAGAAGAGGATATTAAATATGGAAGCGGGTAGCTACTGGTACTTGAATAAGTATTTCCATAAGTTCACAACCGTAACTCTTTGTTTAGATGCTTGGGTTGCAAGGTCAGAATAGGTTCTTATTGTTTTCTGTCCCATTTACATGTCATTTACTCGGGAATGAGGTTGCTTATGTTATTCGAAATTGGTGTCATAATCCCACAGAATCTTTGCATTATATTCGTATCTAATAAATTGGTCTTAAGTTTGGTGCTCTGTGATTAGAGAGAAGTTCAATTCCTGGATGTAATAGGCTAAATTTAGTTTGACTAGATTGTGGATCTGCTGTCATGGCCAAGGCAAAAGTTTTTCAAACTTTTCACTTTGATCAATAAAGTCGTCCTTTTCTGTGTACAAAAAAGAAATGATTTAATTTCTCTGTCGGAGAATATGATTGTCATGTTGAGGAATCATTGGTAATGTGGAATTACATATGGTTGTTGATCAATTTATTACAGCTGTAGTTACTCTACATTCTAATATATGTTGGTCTATTAAACATTGACAGGCAGCCAAAGAAGCAAGATATGACAAGGAAGCTGTGATGAAATTTTTCCGTACGGTCTGTATTCATGCTCTTGTTGTTAGCTTTTTCTTTTTGCCTATGAAAAATATCCAACTTTTGTCTTGGTTGTTTCAGTTGATCAAAAGAAGATATTTTTCCGATGATTTACCTGCACAGAATCCATGGTCTAGTTCTCCAGTACAAAGACCTGCACAAACTGTAGATGAAAATTGGAGTGACGAGGATCATTCCTACAGGAATGCCAGGTAGGTTCAGCTAGTTACATTGTTCTCCTTAACTTGTTATATTTATCACCATCAATAAATAATTTATGGTGGGTATGCTGGCTCACAAGTTTAATGGTCTTCGTGTGATAAAATGCAAATTGGCGATTCATTGCATTTTGGTGTTCAGATGCGTAAGTGTTGCAGGTCCTACTCTATAACTGTTTATTCATCATTTCATCTATAACTGTTTCGAATGCTAATCTATAAGTAACCATGGGCATGCCAGTTATATGCCAACCCACGTCATGATGTTTTGAATACTAACCCATGGGTGTTTGTTCACCATCATCTCTCTCCTCACAATAGGCTGTTTTACTATGTCTGGACGAGTGATGTTTCTTTTTCTTTGTTGGCAGCTTGCGTGCTGATCCTTACAAGTACAACATGCTCCCTCCTCTTCCAGCACAACGCAATCTGACACCACCTCCCACACTTTATCCTCAGCAACCAGTTTCGGTTTCTGAAAACTACAGACTTCCTAGGTTTTCCCATAATAGTTACTCAGAAATCAGCAGTGCAGCTAGATCAAAGCGCTCCGATATTAATGTGTAATTGTCATTGCCTCTGGTTAATGTGATTGTTTGCATGAATGAATGCTAGTGTATGCGGTCAAAGTTCATACCATTTTGTTTCACCTGTAACTCCATTGATTATTTTTCTCTATAGGTTATCATTGTAAGTGGCTTTTGTTTTAGGTTAAGTATATATTGATTGATTCATCGACCTGAGAAGTACAGGCAATTCTTTCATCAACTTCTCTTTGTTTGCAAATTCTTGTCAATTATTTAGTGTTGAAAACATTTTTGTCATCTTTTCTATTCGAAATTCTCTTTAACTGGCTGGTAAGATACAATAAAACATGTCACGTATATTTTGTACGCATCACACTTATGTCATCCAATTCTACAAAAGTCCAGATTTATCATATATCACTCAAAAAATAGTTCATTCATGTCATGAAAGTTTTACGCGTTGCTTCATTGGACCACAAGCGCCTTGCCATCACAACCCTGCTCGAGTCTTGAGCAATTACCACTTGACTGAACTGCAAGTACAAGGCAACAAAGGTAAATTAAAATAGTAATATCGCTTGTATTGAAAAATCTTAATAAGTACTAAGGCATCCCTTCTGTTTTCTTAACCTGAGTTTATTATTATTTCGTCGATACTAGAGAACTGAAATTCATTTAAGGTGCAAGGACAAATGATCCAAACAATTTTAATTGTTCAGATTCAGATGAGTATTTATACTCTGTAGATTACGTAGAGGGGTTGTTGCTGTTGTGGATAATCCGAACCCTCGAATCGAATGAATCGAATGGGTTCCAGTTTATCCATTAATAATAAATCGGAGTGAGCGTTCTGAGTTGCTGGTGGAAGGAAGCTTCATAGTCTCGTACAAGAAACAATTAATGGATGAAACGAAAAACGAGGAGGCGGTGTGCGTGACTGGAGCCAATGGCTTCATAGGGTCGTGGTTGGTCAAGACATTACTGGAAGAGGGCTACACCCGCATCCACGCCTCCATCTTCCCTGCCTCCGATCCCTCCCACCTCTTCTCCCTCCCCGGCGCCGACCGCCACACTATCACGGTCTTTGAGGCCGACCTCCTCGACGCCGACGCAGTCGCCAGGGCCGTCCAGCACTGCCAGGGTGTCTTCCACGTGGCTTCCCCCTGCACCCTCGACGACCCCACCGACCCCCAGGCTGAGCTGGTGTTGCCTGCCGTGCAGGGCACCCTCAATGTGCTCCAAGCCGCCTCGAAGTTCGGAGTGAGGCGCGTCGTCCTCACCTCCTCAATCTCTGCCATGGTCCCCAACCCTTCTTGGCCTCCTCACAAGCCCTTCGACGAGTCCTCTTGGACCGACCTCGACTACTGCAAAGCCCGCCAGGCAGTAACTGTGCCCCTAATTTATTCATCATCCCTAACCCTAATTAAGTTACTTTACTTGATGACGATATCATTCATTATCATCATCATATATAATTACTTATTCGTAAGAAGAGAAGATGAACAATGAGCATCCACATTTTATCCATAATAATAATTAACAGTAATAATCTATTAATCTTGGACAGAAATGGTATCCGGTGTCGAAGACAGAGGCAGAGAAAGCAGCTTGGGAGTTTGCAGAGAAGCATGGACTGGATGTGGTAGCCATCCATCCGGCCACATGTCTTGGGCCTCTCCAGCAGCCTAGCCTCAATGCAAGCTCTGCTGTTTTGCTCAACTTGCTCCTTGGATCCAACGATACCCAAGAGCATCACTGGTTGGGGGCTGTCCATGTCCAAGATGTCGTCAAGGCACAAGTTTTGCTCTTTGAATCTCGTGCTGCTTCTGGCAGGTACCTCTGCACCAATGGCATCTTCCAATTCGCTAACTTTGCCCTCACTGTCTCCAAACTCTTCCCTCACTTTCCCATTCACAGGTAGGTTTGCTGCTTCTAGTTTATTTATTTGCTACATTTTATCTCTTTTTCGTAGACTTTCTTTTTGGATGCCAAAAGGAACACAAAAGAATTTTTGTGGAAGGAAATGGGACTCATAATCATAAATGTGATTGTGTTATATTTTATGGAAGTATTATTTTGCTAGCACTTTGAACTATTACCATATACATGCGAAGGCAACGACCTCATTCACTGTGGCGCAACTCATAGAAGATAATCAAACACTTTGAACTATTACCATATACAAAACTAAAGTTATCATTGAGATCATCAATCAATTTGGACTTGCCTGAGTACAGTTTGAGTTTGTGAACAATATAGACATGTACTGATTAAGATAATGTTTATTCGTGTCGGTTGAATTATTAGTATTGTTATTGTTTTCCTGTCTGTCTGGTTGGCTTGTTCCTTAGAGAAGTAGAAGTAGAAGTAGATGGTAATGTTTGACTTGAACGAAATCAGTACAGGTTTAGCGGGGAAACCCAGCCAGGGCTAAAGGAATGCAAGGATGCTGCAAAGCGATTAATTGAGCTGGGGTTGGTGTTCAAACCAGTTGAAGATGCTGTGCAGGACACAGTGGAGAGCCTCAAAGCGAAAGGCTTTTTGAAACCGGAAATATCACCATCAAACTCAAAATAGAGATGGCAGCGAACATAATAATAATAATAATAATAATTTAGTACTATTTCCCTCTAGTTATGACTTTTTACGATTGGTTTATGTTTTGTTTGATAATTGTGATTATTAATATATTTAAAAGTATTGATGAGGGTCAGGTCAGTTGAGTTGGTTGTAAATATGATTATGGTTTGTTTTTGTTTAGTGAATGAGATGAGTAGCCATTGCCCATTGGCAATTTGATTGCTAAAACAACACTGATGATGTAGAGAGCATGGCATTGGCCAATGGCCACCTACAAATACAATACAATTGCAGATGAATGAGAATGAATAAATAGCAGGACAATGAGAGTACAACAGCTACCGTCCCACAGCTAACGTCCGTCGAGCCCCAAGTAGAAGGACGATGTTGCCGCACGTCAAGTGGATTGGGATCCGTTCTAATGTCGTACTAATGAATAATAAGAGAGGTTGTTTAGGTGGGTATCAGTCTTTGTCGCCTGTAACCAGGCAAAGCAGATTGTATTGCATTGTATTGTATTGTGTTGTATATTTGTATTTGATTTGGATTGCCTGGCGCTCTGGCCTTTAGTTTAGTGTTAAGCCTACCTGTCTCCTCTTGCAATGAATTATGCATTTTTATGTATTATTATTGTTTGATAAAAGTGACCACCCAACACTCCATGTGCATCATCCTCCCTACCCTTCACCCACTACCCTTCACCCACTACCCCTCTATCCTTGTTGTTCTGACAGTGACTCCTTTTTTCATAACAAAGGAATCAATCCATCTGCTATATATTCTTGTATTTTTCTATTTCTTTTTCTGATTTTTTAGGGGAGAGATAGAGACGTGCAGGTGCAGGTGCAGTTCAATCATGTCATGGTGGAGGTCTCGGTTGGTTCCTCTCCTCTGGCATTTGCATGTGCCCCTAACCAAAAGGCCCACTTGCCAACTTTCTTCCACTGCATTTCATTCCATTCCATGTTTCTCCTTTAAGTTAAGCTGTTTAAGCTTGAATTAATGTGAGAAAAAAAGCCCCCGTCCACAACCACCAAAGACACGAGATCGATGACCACTACTAGTCCAGCACCTTGCAGCAGCAGCACCACCACCACCAGCAGCCGTTCCTGGTGTGGCGACTACATTATTACTTACTGTTTTATAATATCCCATGACTATGTTTCTAACTAGTTCCTACTCACTCACATGATACCTATCTCACTCGATCCATTTCCATTTTTGTAATTGATAGGTCCATAAGTGAGGACTCGCTTAAAAGGTATGTGCAGTTTGCAAGCGAAAGCTGCATTCAAGAATTACTGTCTGCTTCCGACTCCAACAGACCCAACGACGGCTGGAAACCCCTCCTTACTCTTGGCAACGGAGTTGAGATCTCCAAACGCAGGTCTGGATCCTTTCACACCTTCCGCAGCCGCTGCCTCCTCACTTCTCTGTCACCCCAGCAATTCATTACCGTTGCAAACGCCATTGATGCTGCCAAGCAATGGGATCCTCATCTTGTAGAAGCAAGGTACATAAAAGATCTTGGAGATAACCTCAGCATCATCCGTCTCAGGTTTGGAGATCATTCAAAGCCCCTCTTTCGAAACAGAGAATTCGTAGTCTACGAGCGACGTGAAACCATGGAAGATGGCACACTGGTGGTAGCAGTTGCTTCACTTCCAAAGGAGATAGCTGCCGGATTGGAACCAAAGCAAAATAACGCCATCAGGGGCCTGCTGCTGCAATCAGGATGGGTTGTTGATAAGCTTCAAGGTCACTCCTGCATGGTTACCTATGTTGTTCAGGTTGCCTCCCTATTTTCCTTTTGAATTTGCGGTTTGCAGAGTATGAATGAATGTTGTGAAAACCTTGATCAATTGTTAGTCATATAACTGTAACAGGTTTTCTTGTCATTGTTGAATGAAAATGCAGTTAGATCCTGCCGGATGGATGCCGAGGTGCTTTGTCAATCGACATAACAACAGACTCGTTATGATCATTGAAAATCTAAAGAAACTGGCACAAGCCTCTCCTCCTACTGATGCCCAAACATCCTGAGATCACTACTACCTACATTGTACAAACTACAAAGCGGAGGAGAAACTTAATCTCCCCTAGTTATCCTTTATTTTTTGGCATACCCTAATTATCCTAGTTAATAATTATGACGATGCCAATTCTCTGATCCATTCTCTCTCTCTCTCTCTCTCTCTCTCTCTCAATTAAAGTTTCATTTGAAGGGGGAAAAGGAAAGAGAGAAAACAGTCGACCTCTCTTCTTTTTCTCTCTTGTTTCTTAACTCTTAAGAGAGGATTAATGTTTAGGCGTCCAAGGTTTCTCTGCTTGTATCACACTGATGCCTTGCATACTCTCTCTACTCCTACCCAACCCATCTTCTCTCTTCTTGCCGGAAGTGATAGTTGCAGCACCGCAACCCCTCCCCGTCCACCATATTTCTTATGTACCGATCTATACCGGACTTTTAATCCTGGCCGTTCAAAGAAATCCAGTGATCACCGTCTTTCGTGTTTTGGTAACTTAGTCTTCCATCACCACTTCGACCCTCTCCAATGTGCCATGGCTTCCGTCTGCCCACCTCATTCACTCATTCCCTTCTCCCCCGTCATCAACGTTCCTACACTATAGAGCTTCAGTTACGCGTGTCCCACATTGCTTTCATTAACTAATAATTTGAATTTTAGCTTAGCTTAACTTTTATGAAGATTGATCTAACGTGCTGCCTGCCTACTTTCTGAAGGTATTTCCATCACTCATTTTTCTCCTCTATTAAACTTGAGATAATTTTCATCTTGTTAGAGATTAGAGAACACCACTCAATCGTTGTCCAGAGCTCTATCACTACACAATACTGAACAACGGCATTGGCAACAGTATCCCCCCCATGGCACACTACGACACAAACTGAAATATAATTCAAGTACCAATGAGTTCTCACCACACTCCAGAACACCCTGAGTGAAGGGACAAATTGGAAAAACTCCATTTCATCCTGGGTTGGATTCGTGTAGTTGGGAATTCTTCTCTTGTTAAGAATACACACACAAAATCGTATAGCCAACATGTGTGTGTGTGTGTGTGTGTGTGTGTGTAATAAACCGATTGCTAGACAACTGATAAGTCATTGTATCGACAATACAGGAAGCTGTATCCTCCAAGTACACAGGATGTATACTTCAAAATCAAATGACTATTTTGACAGACATTCCAAACCATTACATACATCACTCAACAATTCAACCACAACATTCTACAGATTCATCATTATTCCATCATGGGATAACCCTTATTTGGACAGACCAACACCTGAGGGCTTTACAACATTTCAAATGCTTCAACTCATACCATAATTGTCGACCCTTGATTTTGCACTTTGGGATGGATACGCTTCATCTGAATTAAAAAAGGGAGTTTCAGAAGAATGGAACTGACGAATTCAAATAGGGTCCCTGAAGCACCAATCAACACAAAAGCAACAATAGGCATTTCTTTCGTATGGTGCCTCACATATTTGTCAAATGCCAGATTCAACCAGAACATTAGATTATGCTTTTACTTTAACCAAGAGAGTAACTTATGAAACGTTAATTCATACCTCTTCAACCCAATTGTTTAACTATGAAGGAGCATCCGGCTGCTTTTCTGGTAAAGCATCTAGGAATGCTGGTATCTTATTGTATGCCTCATGCAACCTGGCCAAAAGGGGAAACTGAGTCTGCACAAACATTGAGTGAAAAGAGATTAATCAGAAGATACAGATGGAGAAAGCCACTTGAAAGTTAGACCATAAATTCTTAAAAAACTGAAAACCCTTAGCTCTAACAAGCTCAGTAAGAGATGAATAGAGGTTCACTACACACTGAACACATTGAATAGACTTCAAATGTCAACCTAGGCCTTGAACTAGTACAATTGAGTTCTTCGCACCACCCCACCTCCAAAATAACTAGGAAATGATACAAAGTCCCATATCAGGAAGAGATGTGGTTGTTCTAAGTTTACATTTCGAGGGAAAAGAAAGTTTTATTATGAAGGAAAGAGATTTTGGTGCACTGTCTGCATATATCTTTTCTTAACCAAGTCCCTGTAAGTACCTTATTTATGGTAAACCTACCATGATATAAACCCCTAATTACTGACCAATATAATTTCCACATCAATGTGAAAAGCTACCATTCATATCACAAGAACAGATGTGCAGATCAAAAACGAGCAGTGACTGATTCTTATGATAAAAAATATAGCTAGAATAAAAGAGACAGGTTGCTCCTGAAAGTTGAATCAGATAGGAACTTGATTTCTGACCTAAAAAGGACAACAACTTGATCATGTGATGGAAGCATTACAACACCACAAAATTGGATTAGTTTCCATCATCATGCGAAAGGAAAAAAAATAAAAAATTGTTATGATACAAATCAGATAAATTTAACATTACACAATCAAGTGAATAAATGTTCATTTGCTAAAGTTGTAACTTGCACAAGAATCGAATGATAAGTACCATGTCTAGCTGGAACCTTGTAATGGCTGCATAAAGCTGTGGTGCCAGAAACAAATCTGCCTGCAAATATTTGTCAAAATGTCAGAGATAAAGAAATTTCACACTAACACCTATTCTGTGGAACATTATGAAGTGACAATGCCGTGCAAACATGCTACTCAAATTTTAGGGTTCATGTAAGGACTTTATGAAAATCTAAATCACAAAACTTCCACAGATTTTCCAAAAATCTTGATTGAATACCACAAGACTTGTATGGAATCTCTAAAAATTCTAGAAATTATAATTGAATACCACAAAACTACTGACTCTTCAATAGTCTACATCATATATACAACTAAACTTCTTAACTCCACCAACTTTTTTGTAAAATCCATCAATTTCCATATAATCTCATACTTAATGAGACTCTTCGTACTTCTAGGAGTGTTTGGCAGTCCTATTTAGAGTTGGCAAATCAACCCATTGGATTGTTAATGGGTACCCATTATGACTCATTTAGTTTGATTTTACCTTACGTCATCATCATCACTACCAATCTCATCCTTATATTATGGTGATATCAAATTAAATGGGTCTTCACGGATACCCCATTAACAACCCAATAGGTTAATTTGCCACCTCTAGTCCTATTAGAAGCCTATAAATATGTATATCTATTGGTGCCTCGGTATGTCCTTTCTTCTCTCTTCACTCCTATTATTCTTTTTCTTTTTTTTTAGTATATTGATATTTTTACACTAAGGGGAGGGGGAGTTCGGCTAAGCTACACAATGGGCAATCTAATTTGGTATTGAATTTACCATCCACGAGATTCGAACCTAACCTCCTATTATTCTTTATTTCTCTAAAATTATAGAAACCCAAAGCATTAATTTCCCTTAAAACTTTCTATATCCCCAAATTTCCGTCAATCCATAACATACCATAATCAAGAAATCCAGTAACCTTAAACCTGCCTCATAAATGGCTTCTTTTCTGGTTATTGACTCTAGTTTTTGGGTCATATTATTTCAAAAAGTTTCTAAAAGTGTTCTTATTTTCCAACATAGAAAAGGATTGCGAGTCTTTTTTTCTTTTTTTTTTCTGAAAAGGGAGAATAAAAAAAAGAGGACAAAATGAGCAAACAGACCATGTAAACTTCATCTCCAGTTGCATATTTTCCTGCATGGTTGTTCAGCAGTTCTTCAAGTGCTGAAAGACATGAAAATAGCAGATAATTAAGCCTAAAACCATCCATAGAAAAGAACAACTGTAGACAGGAGTTTCATATATTGTAGGATTTTGCACTGAAAATAAAATTGTGGTTTGACAAATCACACATTTGGGATGAGTTGAGGGATAGAGACGCAAGTTTGAGGTGGAATTATCATTATATCTTTTCTAGGGTATAGAAACTTTGGGCGAGAGTAAGAGCATAGACTGAGGCAAGAGACACGGGTCTTAGACAATAAATTTGGGTTTATGTCAGGGCGCTCGACTACAGAGGCAATTTATCGCTTACGGAGATCGTTTGAACGACATAGAGATATGCAAAAGGATTTGCGCATGGTCTTTATAGATATGGAAAAAGTGTCTGATAGGGTCCCAAGAGAAATTATTTGGAGGATTCTAGAGAAGAAAGGAGTACGAGTAGCATATATCCAAGCAATAAAGGATATGTGTGAAGGAGCAAAGACTCCAGTAAGAACTCATGAAAGACAAATTGAAAGCTTTCCCATAACCATAGGATTACAGCAAGTCTCGGTTTAAATCCTTACCTATTTGCATTGGTGATGGATGAGTTAACGAGACATATTTAAGATGATATCTATCAGTGTATGTTTTTTACGGAAAATATAGTGTTGATAGATGAAATGCAAGAGGGAGTATATGCGAAGCTTAATGTTTGCGGGAAGTATTGGAATCTAAAGGTCTTCGACTAAGTAGGTCAAAAGACAAAGCATATAGAGTGCAAGTTTAGTGGGAATGGGGGTCCAAATGAGATAGGAGTGAGGATAGAAGATTAGGAAGTACCAAAGAGTGAACGCTTTCATTATCTTGGATCTATCTTGAAAAAGAACGGAGAATTGGATGGATATCTCAACCATTGAATACAAGTTGGATGGATGAAGTGAAATAGTGTGACCATCTTATGCCACTGAAGCTTAAGGAAAAGTTTTATAAGACGGCAATAAGAGCAGGACGGTCAAGCAAACGTGCAAAAAATGAGTGTAAAGGAGATAAGAATGCTTCGTTGGATGTGTGGCAACACAAGAAATGACATGATTAAGAATGAGGATATCCAAGGTAAAGTAGGAGGGGTTGCAATTGAAGATAAGATGAGAGAAAATTGGTTAAGGTGGTTTAGATGTATGAACCCAAGACCTACATATGCTCCAGTTAGAAGATGCAATTATGAGACATGGTCAGGGCAAAAGGGATAGAGGAAAACCTAGAAAGAAACTCTAAGAAAAGACATGAAGTACTAAGAGCTAATGGAAGACTTCGCGCAAAACTGAGCACAGTAGCGTTCTAGGATTCACGCAACCAACTTCACTTAGTGGGATAAAGCTTTGTTGTTGTTTGCTGTTGTTGTAGAGTATAAAAACTTTAAAATGAAAAAGGTGTCGTTATTTTTAAAAGTGTGGCATCATCTGCGAATAATCCTTATTTAACTTTTAATGCTTTCTTGAGATTCTTTTTTTCAGGGGAGGGATGGATCATTAACTTTGTAAATCTTACCTAAAAAGCCTTTTCCAATATGAAATTGAACCCATTCAAGTTTCTCAACGGGCCTAACCTTTTCTTCAATGTACTTCTGTAAATTGGAAAAGCAGCAAAACAAGATCCATATCATTTAGGTTATATAATAGTATCATGAGAAGTAAAGTCAATATTATATCCAGCTAATTACCAGTACAGTCATATTCTGTAGAGGTTGTATGCTTGAGGAAACAATATTTGCAGCCTGCATATCAGATGAGGAGGGTGTTGGAAATGTGCCCTAAAGCCAATCATGTGATGATACTTTACGGACATTTCACATGTTAAACTAATCTAGTTTTACATATAAAGGGCAAAGATTATTGTTTGAGCCGTCTCATATAAATGTTATATGCTTAAACGATAAAGTCCAAGGAATATGTGATTGGGAGAATGTAATCTAATGAAGTTAGATTCATGAGACCATTCTTTCGTAGACACATCCTAAACGTTCCTGATCATAGGATTGCCAATTGGGCGTTGACAGTCCGTTAAGATCAGTACGTACTATGTCTTCTCTCAGGGAGAGTGATTAGTCTCGAGTCATTGGTGTGTGTGACATCAAGACAAGTACAGTAGGTGCTCAATAGAGAATGAGTTCACTGAACGCGATCAATGAAGGGTTCTCATATTCCATGTCACATGAGAACTCATGGTTGGGATAATGCAAAGTAGTCCTTTGACCTGAGGCATCATAGTTGTCTTGTGGTTAAGTCCTTGATCTTTGATTATGTCAAAGTCACTCCATCAGGAAGGTGTCCACGGCATCGTTGGGGTCAAGCCACTTATTTATGGAGACAAGTGAATGCGCAACAAGGGATCTCTAACCTTCAAACCGTTTGAGGGAGAATACTCTCTGATATGATTTGAATCTCTGGCCAGAGTATGAATGAGATTAGGGAATGCGTTCCGAATCACATTCAAGGTAATCATATAAGCACAAGACACACATTGGATAGTAGACATGAGAAAATAAACTATCAAACCAAACAATGTGGTCAAGAGTATTAGATTAGAGAAAGACCGTATTGCATTTGTAATCTCGAACTGAATAGGTTCTCCACCTCTTCTGATTAGCTTGGGTAACCATGATATGCTGCTAGGTGTCACTCATGGTTTGTGGAAGCCCTAAACGTGTGTAATCACTAAAGGGAGAATTGAAAATAGTTTCAATTCACAATCGATGTAAAATGGTTTTAATCGCCCACTACCTCGCTAAAAGAAACCTAATGGATCGCACACCATAAAAGGTAGAGTTTGAAGATTAAACGGAGATGAGTAAGAATGATTAAATGGTTTAATCATTGATTTATGGCAAGGATTAATTAATATGTTAATTAATCAAACGAATAAGTTCGTTAAAGACTTCGGGATAGTTTTGGACCTTAAGGCCCAATGGGCTTCGAACGTCAAGCCCATTAACTTAAGTTGTATGACAATTTAATGAATAAGGATTCACAAAGGCCCAAATCCCATTAGGTGGCCGGCCATGAAGATGAATTAGGGTTTTGGTTCTTTAGGTCACTTAAAGAAGTGACTATATAAAGGACTTTATAGCCAAATATTCAAAAAGGATTAAAAGGGTTAATTTTGGGAAAATTGGTGAGAATTGTCTCTCCATTTTTCTCTCTAAAGAGGCCAACACCTTGGAGGGTACATCTAGCAATCCTACTACTCCAAGGTCACTCATTTCTTCTACAATCTAACCTTGGTGAAGAGACTTAGAGGTTCTCAATTTTGGGAACTTGGAGAACCTATTCTTCCATCCAAATCCATGGATCTAAGAAGCAAGGAATGAAGGCCCTATCTCTTTGGGTGATTAGCCTTTGCTTATGCAAAGAGGAATCTACAAAGGTATTAATTTCAACTCACTTTGTTTTGAGTTGATTATTGATTCACCAATCTACTAGGCTTTGAATTTCATGGTAATGTTTTGTTTTTGAGTGCATACAAGCATGATTCCGTCTTTAATTGTTAATTGCATGCTATATGATGTTGCTCAAATGAACATGTTTTCACAAAAGATTTCCTTCAAGTGGTATCAGAGCCTAGGTCTAGTAGTTGGTGAATCCTTTTGGGTTTTGTAGTTCATAGTATGTGATCTAAAAGTTGTAATTGTTACAAGCTTTATTCTTGCTTCTTTGAAAGTAAATTTTGTTGGAAAATTTGCTATCTCAAATGTTGTAGATGTTGTTCATATGAGCATGAATATTGGAGCTAAAATTTGGTGCCATGCTTTTGGGAAAATTCGGCCAAAACCAAAGGGTGGATTTTTGGGTTCTTGTTTGACTTGTTAAAAGTGTTTTAATGTGTTCTTTGGAACCCCTAAGTACCCTAGTTTGGTTAGATGTTATTTCCCTTAAGTAAGAATGGTTTTGGAATGTTTTTGGGTGAAAAAAGTTCATGGAAAAATTTGGGATTTTCATGGATGTTCTTCATTGTTCTTGATGTTCTTGCCAAGAACAAAAAGGTTTGGTGTTTTGATTCAAAGTTTTGATTTATTTCATAAAGTTTATGTGATATGTTTTTTAAATGATTTATCATGTATTTAAAGTATTAGATATTTGTATAAATGATGATTGAAATAATTGTGATTGAATTATTTCATAAACATATCCTTTCACATACACTTGCATGCTTTTGACAAAACTCACAAATCAACACACACACCAACCTTATCCCTCCCCAAAACCGGCCACTCCCTCAAAGGGAGTACTTTTGGGGCTTTTATGCAATTACATAAAGTTTTGATACTTTTGTGTATTTACACTTTGGCCCAAAAGTTTACGTTTTTACGTTTAGGTCCAAAAACGCTGAAGGACAAATTGTTTTGTTCCTTTAATGAAGTTTTTGCATTATTAAAAGTTTGGGTTCTAGTTGTATTTACATGAAGTAGTGACTTTTGTGTATTGTACAAAGTGACCCCAAAAGTTTTTGTTATTGCAATATGGCCCAAAAGTTGAGGTTAATTGCATGATGGCCCAAATAGGATGAGAACAAAATTGTTTTGTCTCTTTAAATGAGAATTGGATTTTCATTTTGTTTAGCTCCATTTAAATCAATTTTATGGATACAAAAACCAAATGAAAATGTTGCATTTAATTTAATTAGTTAAAGTGTTAATTAATTAAAGGGTGATTATGAACCTAAGCCTAATATAATTGAGCTATGTGAAAGGCCGTTTCAAATTTGTTTGAACCATGGGAATGTGTAGATTAGATTTTGGTTGTAATTTGATTTGATCAAATGTTGTAAAAGGGCTTAAGCTCTTCTTTACTTTAAAGTAATTTGTTATATGCAAATGTTGTAATGAGCATAAGCTCATCTTTACTTTGAAGTACTTCTTTCTTGCTTTATATGATATGCATGAAAATGAAGTAGTTGGGTCCAACGCCCATAAGACAACACGCCTTAATGTGATTAAACGCGTAACTAAAATCAATCACCATTCCTAGACCGAGATTCAACACAAGGCTCGTGTTGAATCTAAACAAAGGTTCATAATCATCCTTAGGCCCTAAGGCAACTATATAGTCCATCAAATGAATGCAAAGTTTATGTTAGTAGTATCATATACTCTTGCTTTAAAAATCGTTTTATAAGCATAGTGGGAGTATTATGTACAACTAAAACAATGAGATGGAACAATAGTTGTAATAGGACCAAAATTGTTTTAATAGAGATTAAAATGAATGTTTATATGTGATGAGACCTAAAACCCTCAACCAAACCATTATTAAGTTGATAAGCGGGAGAGTGCTTAGAACACTCTTTCGTGGCCTTCCACCGTGGTGGGCTTCAATAGTTTGTGACTCGTACACATGTATTCGTCCAGTCCATTCTGGGGTTGCAAAGTATGTGCTTACATTCAGGAGAAGCCTATAAACATATGATGAAGTGAAAGGTAGGCAACAAGTGTGGCCAATATGGAGTTCTTCTAAGGCCATTCTTGAACCCCTACTTGAACTAGCATGGTGGGAATGACTTAACTAAGTGCAATGGTGCCAATATGGAGTTCTTCTGAGGCATCATTCTCTAGAGGCCAAACGAGATGGGTACTTGCATTAGTTGCAAATGAGTAAGCGTACTCTCTCATTATTATTGTTGCTAGCCAATATGGAGTTCTTCTGAGGTGGGCTTGGTAATAGTGAGCCTCCCATAACCTACTAGGAGTTTCATCCAAAACTCTCGAATTCCAATGAGGGATATGGAATTTGCCAAAAATAGTGGGTGGTGCTATTTGATTTAAAGACCCTGAATCAAATGGCTTAAAATCAATCAATTTATATTCGTTATGTATTTGATTACCAATATATTTGCAAACGCTATCCAACACTTGACAAATAAAAGCCGAACGTTTAGTTTACGGACTTGGTACTACAAAACCATAGATTGTCTTTAATGGCTTGTAAATGTACCTAAGTAGTCTCATCCTCACAATCTTCCTATTGATAATGTATCATTGGAAGAATATGTTAGAAAAGGTCTATCATAAAGAGGACAACACTTTTAATGTCATAATTCTTCAATTACAAATTGTTGTATGAAGAAATAGGAGTTGCTTTGAACAACCCTTAGTCAATGCAAACACTTAGTGCTTGTTTCTTTGTTACATGAACAAGGAACTTGAGAAGAAAGCACAAAGGCATGGACACTTTATGTGCCATGATTCTTCACTTACAAATTGTTGTATGAAGAAATGAGAGTTGCCTTGTACAACTCTTGAAGGTTTGTAATTATGTTTAGAACATAATGGTTGGTTGACAAAAATAGTCCATTAACATGGACTTATGATGATTTTGAATCATTGAATGTTGAAGTGATAAACCACTTAACGAGACGGAAACTAGGCAAGGACTTCACCTTTGTGTCCCTATCCTAATGGTTCACTAAGTTTATTGTAAACTATGTAGTGAACAATAAACCACATGCTCTCCAAAATTGTTTGATGTGTATAACACAATTGAAAAAGGTTTCAAGAGAGATAGTGGGAGTTTAGGGACCATGACTAATGTAGTCAAAGGTGAAAGTCAAATAAAGAAGATAAATAACTCCAAGGGAACAAACTTTCTTTATGAAAGGATGGACATTGGAAGGGGTATTTGCAAGAAATGTCTTGCAAGTGTCAAGGACACACCTTTCGAAGGTGTTGTAAATTGTTCTTGAATAATTCAAAACAATTGGTTCTTCTACTTGAATGCATGA